TTTTTTTTTGTAAACTCGATGGCCTTTTGTAGCACTTTCTACAGTAAGTTTAAAAAAAAAAAATAGTCTTCTGTAGCCTTTCTAAAGAAAGCGCTACAACAAATCCTATATCTCCTGTAGCTCTTTCTGGAAAAAAAAATGCTACAGAAGATTTTTATAATTTTTTTAAAAAAAATCCTTTATCTTTTTTTCCTTTTTTTTCTAAACTCGATGGCCTTTTGTAGCGCTTTCTTTAGAAAGCGTTACAGTAAGTCCTATATCTCCTATAGTAACGCTATAGAAGATTTTTATGATTTTTTAAAAAAAAGTAAATGAACTGCTGTAGCGCTTTCTCAAGAAAGCGCTACAGCAAGTATCATACATGCTGTAACACTTATTGAAATAAGTGCAATAAGTGCTACAGAATATGTCCTTTTCTTTTAATAAATTATTGAGTACTAGCTGTAGCATTTTCGTTTTAAATGCTACAAAACAGGAGCTACAAATCAAGTATTTTGTAGTAGTGTTTGGAAAAAAAAAATGGATAACTATGATAAGCAAAATGATTAAGATTTTATATTTAAGATAAAATTGAATATCAAAATAGCTCTTATATTAAATATCAAAGGTAGCACGTTGTTAAAAAAAACTAAGTGTGAAAAAATGTTATGGGATTTCGTGTTTAAAATCTTTAAGGTAAAATAATATTTTTCTGTTGGCAAAAAAAATCATTTTTCTAAAAACATATTTAATCTTATATTTTATATATACATATACACATATTAATTATTTATTAATTTCATTTTTAATATATTATTAACAAATTTATTACTTCAAATATAGATTTTATAATATATTTTAATATATTATAAAATCTATATTTTATGTAATTATCATCTTAACTTATGTTCTTTTTGGTAATTTGTACATATAAAAAGTGCTTCTGAGAACAATTATTCAAATACTCTCACTTTATCAGAATCATTTTTTCATAAAATTTATTTTTCCAAAATCTATTATCAAAAATAATTTTTTTTTCAAAAGCTATTATCAAAACTATGGTTTGATTTTATCCAAACATCTCTTGAGTAGAAAACACTTCTTCTCATCTCAGTACTCTTTGTTGTATAACAAAACTCTGACTCCTTTTTATGGTCAGATCACGTATGAGCTTATTTACGGTTCCTGATACACTCCAAAAACCCTCAATCTCTGTTGCCCCTAAGCCAAGATTTCTAGATCTATAAGCAGATGAATTATGAATTGATTTTTATGCATAAGACTTCCGATGTTGAAAGGGCATGACAAATACACTCGCCTTTTTTTAATTAGCGCGTGACGTGATTTTCTTTTTCTTTTCTGTTTTTTTTTTTGGTTTGCTTGTTCGTTGGCTATTTCCTCGGCTCCGAGCCTTTTATCCCTATTTTCCGCGTCTCTCCCCTCTCAGGTTGACTGATTCAAATTTTGCTCATCAAAATATATGTGTATATATATTTCATGTGATAATATAACATTCATAAAAAGCGAGCTATACTTAGTTGTTCATCATTTTCTATGTTTGTATTATTGCCATATACGTACGGAGTATGTCGAAGATTACGAAGTGATGTGACCGTCACATATGCATCCTAATTGAATTTAAAGATATGTGCAAACAGATAAATCATTTTCATATAAAAACAAACGGCCTGCTTCTATTTTGGCCAAAAAGCGGCATATTTCTTAATTAAGAAGGTTTTTTCACAATTGCAGGTGTACCATTTTAACTATTTTATGTGGCCTTCCAAACAAATATCAATAATGTCGAATTAATCAATAAGAAATTATCAACAAAAATAAAACTATAAATAGCCTAGCCTCCCACATAAACCCCTCATAACACCCAAAGCAGTAAACATATTACTCCTTTGGTCCTTCATATACGACTTAATTGGGGAGTTGATATTAATCCTATATAGAAGATTTATTTTACATATTTATTAATTCTTTTTCAAATTAACGCTATTGATATTTTCTCAATAATGATCAAGTAGGATATATCAAACACTCTTCTAATGACTTTTCTCAATCCCATGTAAAAAAACAATCACTAATATCAAACACTCTTTTAATGACTTTTCTCAATCCCAATCACACTTTACCTCTCATTGTCAATACTTTGTACCAAACAGGATCTAAAGATTTTGTACAAACTCAACCAAGGCAAATACAACAGATGAAAAAATAGTTTCTTAGAAAAATGCTTTCAACAAGAAAATGGCGAAATTTTTAAGCAGACAAATTTCCAGATTACAATATTGATATTTCGAAAAGCGCATGATTAAGCTTGCAAGGATAATGGTCTGTTCGATCTGTTCTATATTTTTCATAGTCAATCCTTCATCTTTTTATATTTGAAGCTTTTGAACTTGAACGTTGATGGGGCTCCTCTATGAATCTACAAATCATGCACAAATCATCTTTTCTTTTCATTCTTGGTCCAACGACTATAATTTTCTCTTTGATCATTCTTCTGAATTATTCGTTGTTTCCTAATTATGAAATAAAGACAATAATCTCAATTCATCAAGATTTATTTGGTTCAAAAATATCAAATATTATTTAAAATGATTTTACTATATCTGTTATCATAAAACTAATAGCAGCTTAACTTTGAAAGTCAATGGTTAATTCAGTTCTCAACACTATATATCCATTATTTTAAATTATTTCTTACATTAAAAAAAGGCAAAGAATTAAAATAAATTTTCAATAGTGGATGTTAGAAATAATGACATATAAGTATAAAATAAATACATTAAAATTAAATATAGACGAAACAAAATCACCAAAATCAATTACTGTAAAGACCAATGGTGAGTCTTGTTCCCAAAAGCCTATAGAATTCTACTCTCACCCGCCTATCTTGGACCCGAGAAATGGTTGAAATGGGTTAAAACCCCAAACAGAAATCCAACTCAGCATTTTGCTTCCCATTCTGTTTGCGAAACCCAAAAGAGATGGAGATTCGGCCAAAAAAAAAAACAAAACAAAAGAGATGGAGCAGGCTACTCCCTCACAACTTGACGTAATGAGAGGCCAGTCCCTCACAACTTGACGAATCAAAGTTTGATTTCCTGTTGAAAGAACTATTCACATTTAATGCCTAACAGTATCTTGAATAAGATTATTTCTAATAGAAAAATACATATGCCTAGCAAAAAAAAAAGCAAAAATTGGGAGATTGTTTGAAAATCAATCAAGTATAAGTTATTAATCCATTAATCAATCAATACCCCTTTCCTTTTTTTTAATAAGAGACAATTATCCGGACTACAGTGATAAAAAATGGCAAATTAAAAGTATATATTTGATAATTTAATTTTATATAGGATTTCAATTTCGTCTCTTAATTTAAAAAAAAATTAGTTCTTTAATCTTAAAATCATCAGGCTTAAATGATGATTTTTTTTGTAACAATTATGATTGTTTTGAAAATTAAATTTAATATGTTAGCAGCAGTTTGAGATTTTTTTTTTCAGGTCAGTCATCCCGTTCCGGTAATTTATCTTGGGATTTTGGTCTTTAAGGGCTCTCTAAAAGTCCTAATGTGTCGAGAGCTCAAATATGAGTCCTAGCTAGGCTCAGAGTCTCCTCTAAATACCCTTTATGTACGCTATCTTTAACGAGTTGAATGAGGAAAACTAATCAATTTTTTTGTCGTGATCATTGTTTACTTTTAGTGTCCTGAATTAAATATCTTGTGATGATTTGTCTCATCTTTGCAGCGGTGGTTAGAGCCATATCTTCACCTGGTTTCTAGATCTACAAGCAGGCGAACTATACGTTGATTATTATAATAATTGCGACCTTGAAGGTTATGACAAAAATACACACACCATTTTTCTTTCGTTAAGCTAGATCCAGCATCAATATCCTAAAATATTTTATCAAGTGCATTCGACATCTTAAAGTATTTTATTGTGCATCCACTATCTTAAAATATTTTGTATCGTAATTTTTCTTTTAAAGTATTAATTTTTTCAAAAGCAATTATGCTTTTAAAGTATTATTTCATAAACAATTTTAATTTTGTCATTAATTCTCAAAAGGTCAAACGAATGTATATAAAGTACTATAAAATATTTTTTAATATTTTTTAGGGTGTCAAACGCACATAAAAAAATATTTGAGGTGTTGGATGAACTACAAAATACTTTAAGATACTGGATGTATATAGATACACTATAAAATATTTTAAGATGATAGACAAAATGTTTTAAGAGGATGGGGTATCTAACCCTTTTTTTTTTTTTTTTGCCCATTAAATTAGCGTGCGCCGCGTTTTGTTTCTCAGCTCCCAGCCTCCCACGCGGCCACGCCTATTTTCCGCGTCCCTCTCCTCTTCCGTTGACCGTTGTCAAAGTTTACATTGGTTAGCGGTTTTACAAGTACACGCGTCAAAATATATTAATACAAAATCCATTATAAAAAAAATCACGCTGTCTTAATTATTTCTCAGATTTAATGCAAAGTGTGAGTTATTAAATTTAATTTATTTTTTATGTCTTTATAATAGTATGTTGGTGCGTATATTATTGCAATAGTATATACATTGATGGATTTTTGGAAAGAGCGATGTGATCATCATCATACCTCCTAATTAAATTTAAACACACACATATATATAGGGTGGCAAAAAGCAAACAAGATATATGAAGTAGAATATATATTATTGAATCTGCCCAAAAAAAAAAGAAATATATATTATTGAAAAGGAAAATTTGAGAATTCATTTTCAAGTTAAAACATTCGGAATGCTTCTATTTTGGCTAATTAAAACGCTGCATGATTCTTCTTGAGAAGTTTCTAAGAAGCTGTATTATTTAGACTATTTTATGCTATGTTTCACATACGGTCATATTACAAACATATAATAATGACGATGACTTAATCAGTAAGAAATTATCAACAAAAATAAATCTATAAATACCTCAGCTTCCCACACAAACCCACAACACCCAAAACCGTAAACATATTGCATTATTATCATTTGAAATCCCTTCCAAATATACAGCCAAGTCATCGACCACCATGTCCGAAGGCCATCACCACCAGCACCACCGTGACCACCAGCATCACAAAGAAAATCCGGCCAGCGAGATTGACTACAAGAAAGAAGAGAAGCACCACAAGCATAAGGAACATCTCGGAAAATTAGGAGCTGTTGCTGCTGGCGCCTTCGCATTGGTATATATATAATATCATTCAACATAAATTGATATGCAATTAATCATTAGTTATTATTGATAATCATGATTGATTTGAAGAAATTGACAATATAATGAAACTGTTGGTTGCAGCACGAGAAGCGCAAGGCGAAGAAAGATCCAGAACATGCACACAGTCATAAGATAAAGGAGGAGATTGCAGCCACTGTTGCAGTTGGAGCTGGTGGATATGCACTTCACGAGCATCATAAAAAGAAAGAAGCAAAGAAGAAACACCAAGAGGCTCATGGAAAGAAGCATCACCATTTCTTTCACTGATATATATATTAGCTTATGAAGAATATATATATATATATATATATATATTGATCTGGGGAGCTCAATTTCTTGCTGGATTTGTTCTGTACTGTACTATTTATATGCTCTTCTGATTCGTACAAGGTATTACACTATTCAGTGTTCCTACACAGAGTAGTAATACCTTGCAGTATTAGGAGAGGATATGGAAGAACAGATTAGGAGAGAAGCTGAATTCATATTTGGATAAATAATTATAGTCCCTATTTTTTTATTTTATTAATTTGTTGGTGTGTATGTATATGCTTTATATACACAGCAGGAGTTTCATGATATATGTATGATTATTTATGTGTATGACTTTATATATATGTGTATGTATGAAATACAAATTTGTATCTGATCTATTCGACAATTGTTTCTGGTGTTGCTTTGGATTTGCTTCACCTTACAGACAGCACACTACACACACCCACGTGTTGCGCAATGTTGTTAGTTTAAAATAAAATAAAAAAAGGAGATAAGGGAAGAAAGAATCAAACATACAAGAATTATCCTGATTTTGGGCAAATTAAACCTTCCAATTAAAATGACATCATCAATGTGTTCTTGTTTGGCAATTGATTCTGCAATTGAGATCAAACAGTAGATTACAAGTTAGTTGGCTATTTATTATTATCAACACTGATAACCACCTCCAATCCTAAATATAAAAAATTAAATAACTAATTTGTATAGATTAAATAAATTAGTTAAGTTGGATAAGACCTCTTTTCTTTAATATAAGAGCTAGTTGGATATTTGTCTATAATATTTATCCATTTTATCCTCAAATAATCCTTGTAATGATTAAGTTTTCATCAATTGGTGGTTCCAATGCACATGATTAATAAGAGTATTTTAAGAAATATAATATATATTTATTACAAATAACTAATTTAACTAATTTCTTTACTATTCACAAGTTAGTTATGTTGCTTTTATATTAAGGACTAAAATAGTGTTAAAAATGCTTGGTAGTTTTCTTTTAGTGATTTGCATGAATTGGAAACTACTTCTGTAGTCCTATTTATAAGATAGAGATAAAAGATTTTTCTCGGTCCTATTTATAAGTCACTTTATTATATTGTAGATAGTTATTTCTTTTAAAAGATTTATATATTAAATAGGGAAAAGTTAAAAAGTTATTATATTTTAATAAAGATTTAAGGCATTTTAAGTGTTTTTTTTTTGAAATATGCTGAACGTGTCTTATATATAGGACCAGAGGAATACTTCTTAATCAAAACCTCCTTAATAGATATGAGTCTGTTTAGATTAACGATTAGAAAAGTAACTTATTTTCAATTTAACTTTTGAAAAAGTTAGATTTGGTAAAAGTTAAATTGGGTGATGTGAATTGTGTTCGAATTAAATTTTATAAAAGTTAGTTTGTAAAAATTAGATTATGGGTAAAAAGTTGTTTGAATTATGATTGAATAAAACTAAGTTTAGTTTGTATAATTACCAAAATGGGTATGAGTTTTACTAGATAATAAAGAAATGAATTTACATAATACAATAAATTTAAATTAGTAAGTTTAGTTTTTAAAATTACCCAAATGAGTATGAGTTTCATTAAATAATGATAAATGATTAAAAAATAATTTTACATGATACAATGAATAAGTTTCAGCGTATGAGGCTAAGTGGCTTGGGTGAAATAATGGTAGAATAATGAGGGAGGAGTGAGAGAAAAATAAAAATCTAACAATTCCAACTGTCCTAAGCATGATTTTCACTTGAATAAGTTACCTCAGATCAGCTTAATGTTAAGTGCATTTGAATCCAGATTTTTGTCCCCAAACACGATGGCTTATAAGCTTTCCTGAACAGCCTCCAACTTTCCAAACAAGCTTACCATGTGAAAATAAGTTACTTCTGGACCCTCAATCACTGACCCAAACAAAGTGATATAATCAATAAGTAAATATAAATTTAAAAGACAAAACGAAGTAAAGTTTTATAATTGGGACCAAAACTAACCCCTCTTACTCTAAAAAGCAAGAAATTAGAAATGGAATTTCTGTGCCGAATTGGCAATGAATTAGAAAATAAAAATTTTGTTATTACTCGTTGGTAATTCATTGCTAATTAGCAATCCAATTCATAATTCTATTGATAATTTTATCATTAATTAAATTTTGTCACTAATCAAATTTCGTCACTAAATCACATTGCCAATTTTAAAGTTAATTGGGGTTGGAAGTTGTTGCAGAAAACATGATCCCCAACATGAGATTTGGACCTGAAGCAGCTTTCAGGCCGGAAAAAAAAAAGGGACCTGAACGAGCTTAAGTGGGCTTGGGTCACTCAAACGTGATACGAAACATAGTCATAACCAGCTACATTAAGTGAACGTACAACTCTGTCATTGTTACCAAAAAAAGGAAAATGCACAACTTGCAAGTAAAGTGCCTTAAATGAAGAAATAGGTGTTGATATATAAATATGCTACATAGATATTTTAAAAGGTTCATATGTAATTTTAATCTTTGGTTAAAAAAAAATACTATTTTAACAATTAAGTTTATATCAAGAAGCATTAGACACTAGGCACCATAAATTTTTTTAGGGTACAAAAATATACATAAAGTTATCAAAAAGGAGTATTTTTTACAATTTTTTTTTTACGTTCATTACTTATTCGTTAGTGGGGAAATTAGTTTTAAAGTACATTTTTAACAATAAAGTTTATATCAAAGGGCACTTGGCACTATAAAGTTTACTTAAATATAAAAATATACGTGAACTTTCTAAAATGAGGAAAATAACAAAATTGATCAACTCCATAAATGTCCCATTAAGTTTATTATTTTTAGTTCTACCAAATATCACATTTTCTCTCCACGCATTCTCACTTACTTCCTCTCCTTAATATAATGGAATAATTTGAGAAAATTAAAGAACTCAAACAATTACTTAATTATAGGCTTATAGCATATATTATATGATCTTTCTAAACTATTTATATGCATCCCTAGATTATGGAAATGGATAGAGAGAAAATGTGACATTTGGTGAGATTCAAAAGAACAAAATTAAATGACATTTTATAGGAATTGATGAATTTTATTTTTTTCCCTTTTTAAAAAATTTATATATATTTTACACCCAAGTAAATTTTATAGTGTTTAATACCCTTTGATGTAAACTTCGTTGTTAAAAATGTACCATTAACGAAGAAGTCACAGACATTAATGATGTTATTAAAAATATCTATTCTAACAACTTTATGTATATTTTTACACCCAAAAAGATTTTATGATACCCAGTGTCTCTTAATATAAACTTAATTGTTAAAATTGCACCTTAATACTATTTTAAATTACTAGACTCACCCTCCACCCTGGTAGTTAGAAGTTGGAACTATCCTCACCAAGTTTAGAAGTTGGAACTATCCTCGCCAAGTTTAACTTATGATGTATTAAACTTGTAACTTTCTATATACGTTAGTTGCAAATATAGAGTCCTTGTTTATTACAATATTGTAAACGGATTCTTTGAGGATACAAAACTTATGTTCAGCTTCTAATACATGACACTTGTTAGTATCAAAAGGTTGGCTATAAACGTGATACATGAAAATTGTAAATCCCTAAAGACCATTTAAAATAGATTATTTCAATTGTAAATTTCAAAATGCTAATTAAAACATGTTAAAAAACATGTCATGTAAATGGATTCTTTCATTATCATCTAAATAGATTATTTATAAGAAAAAGCATATTCCCTTCTTTTTCACTACTCTTTCGCTCCCATTTGCAATTTGATTGTTAGATTTTATTATTATTATTATTATTCTTTTTGAATATCCTAGCTGGCTTCAGGTTCCTTGCAATATTATCTATAGAAAAACTAATTTTTGTAATGCCATCGGCATATGTCTATGTTAGAACCTGGGCTAATCCATCCTTGATGGATTAGACCCAGACCCATTTAAGTTAGGGTCTAAATGCAAATGAAAACAAACTTGGGTCATTAACTATAATATTCACAAAGATTCTCTTCTTCTCATCTCTGTACTCTTTGTTTTATAATAAAAGTTTAGGGGTGTGCATGTTCAAGATTAGATAGGGCAAAACTCCTGCTTGATGCCTAACCTGAAAGATGAGCAAGTTACAAAATATAGCATGCTATTTGGCCCTATCCAGTAGAAGCCGTAACTGTTTAGGTTGGGTTAATACGGGCTGGATGGGGCGAGCTTTCCTTACCCAAATTTACAACTTGAGATATGAAATTTAAAATAATACAATATGTAACAAGTATCCGTGCTTCAAGAATTAAACAACATCCATAATTTATTAAAAACAAAACAATAAAAAATTATAATTAAAGCCTGAAAGTCTAAATGATTTGCATCAATCTCCACAAAGTTGAGAAAAAGATGAAGCATACAAAAAAAAAATACAAGCTATATTAACGTATTCAATTATATTATTAACTTATGGTTTAATATAATTTATAGAGATCTATATATTATATTTAAATCAGCATAATTAGTATCATTTCATGATATATGAAGTAATTAGAAATTTCTCCCCGTGCAACGCACAGACTAGAATATTTTATTATACTTTAAATTTCAATAAATTGTATTTTCTAAGTTAGTTTAAGATTCGCTTATTATAGGAATATGAGATATTTTATTCATTCAAATGAGATTTGAATTGGAGATACGGAATTTACGGAGAACATATGGAAATTTAAAATCAATTAATTATTTCTCCATTTAAGCCCTAATTGACATATTATTTAATTATGATACTCCACATTTAATTGAATATATTCAAATTTCAATTAACATATTATTCAAATTCAAAATTAATTATTAATTTCTTCATTTGAGCCTCCAATTAAAATCCTATTTAATAATGATACTCCTCATTTAATTCAATATACTCAAATCTAAATCAAAATATTATTCAAATCTCAATAATTAAATAAATTCGGATCCCATAATGTGTTACCCAACCTATTTTTAAACGAATTGGGTATTACAAGTTTTCAAGAATATAGTTGATTGATAGTTGATATCAACCTGAATAAATTAAAAGACAATCATAGTACGTAACAAGGTAATTTAGAAAAATTAAAAAGGGTGGTATATTTTTTAAAAAAAACTAGAACTTCAAAAGTGTAAAGTCTAATAATATAAAGGAGTAACGATGGTTTTAGGTATTGAAATATTATAAAATAAAATATATTAATATTACACTATATATATTATAATTCTGAAAAATATATATTATAATATAAATAAGGGTTAATTAATCCGCAAGTCCTTGTAGTTTCAACCAATTTTGAATTAGGGCCTT